TTTGCGTCGAAATATATTTTTAAAAAAGAATATTCAATTAAGAAATAAGGTTACATTTTTGAGTTTTGTTGGGATGTAAAACGGGTTGGTCACGTGATCAAATGCCATATAAAGCCTGAATGGAAGATTTGATCATGTGCTTACCCGTTTTACATCCCAATAAAACTCAAAAAATGATATCTTATTACTTATATTTACATTTGTGACTGATTTATTAAAGATAAGTAAGGAAACTGAAGTTTTAAGTCCATGAGATTTACATTTTTTCAAAACTCAACGCAGGGACCTATATATTATATACTAACATATATAGGTCCCTGCTCAACGGTATATATTTGAATGCGTTGAACACTTTGATCACTTATATGATCACTCAGTATGAAATTACTTAGATCGCTTATGACCAGACAATCAATTTATGGTCACACGACGATCGTGTTTTACCGAGATGTAAGAAACGCCTTGTTCAAATAGTGTTATGTAAGGGCAAACATTTGTAAATGTAAATATAAGAATTTGATGCACTGGCAATGAAATTAAAACAAACAGAAGTACGGGGAAGGGGAGTGGAGATCTTTTACCGTGCTACATGTACTTTGATTTCCTTGATTCTTTCCATAATTTTGGTGTAGAAAAGTAAGGAAACTGAAGTTTTAAGTCCATGAGATTTACATTTTTTCAAAACTCAACGCAGGGACCTATATATTATATACTAACATATATAGGTCCCTGCTCAACGGTATATATTTGAATGCGTTGAACACTTTGATCACTTATATGATCACTCAGTATGAAATATGACCAGACAATCAATTTATGGTCACACGACGATCGTGTTTTACCGAGATGTAAGAAACGCCTTGTTCAAATAGTGTTATGTAAGGGCAAACATTTGTAAATGTAAATATAAGAATTTGATGCACTGGCAATGAAATTAAAACAAACAGAAGTACGGGGAAGGGGTGTGGAGATCTTTTACCGTGCTACATGTACTTTGATTTCCTTGATTCTTTCCATAATTTTGGTGTAGAGTGTGAGGTTAACATAAACAAGTATTAGCTTTCGTAAAAAGCTTGTCTGACGTGGTTTGCTTAAATTCATGAAGCAAAAAGAAATAATATATGATGTTACATAATTTCTTTCGTTCGTTAATTTATCCTCAAGATACCATGCGAAATCAATATTGTATTTAATAATGTACAAAGAACTTTAAATTGAAGCTCCTGGCTCCAGGATCATGAAACAAACTAAAGGAAGGTACACACGGTAAGGCTTGCCTTATAAGTCTAAAACCTTACGTTTTGCAGGACGTACGGCTCTCATGTACACACGCTAACGCAAGATTTACAATATCATAAACAACATTTACATAAATTCCATGTGTTTTTGAACTAAAAACAATGCACATTTGAATAATAGAATACTAGCTAGGCCTTTGAAATAGTTTTATAGACCAGTTCATCCAGACTTCTCAATAAGGAAGAGGAGTTTAACTGAAGTATTTGTAGATAATATCATTATCTTACTCGAATATGCTTTGTGTTTCTTCAACATACCAACGTGTGTGGTTTTATTAAAATAGATTGAACTTTGGGTAAATGGTTTTCATTGGTCAACAATTAAATGTCAGCTAAGTCTTGTATTAGGAAATAGAGCAATGTTCTATTCTAAAATCAGACTTGTAAGGCTTCCAAAAATGTGTATTAAGGGTGTACACACGGTAAGGCTAAAACTTAAGTTTCATGACTTATAAGGCAAGCCTTACCGTGTGTACCGGCCTTAAGACTGATTGAATTTTTTAATCGCCCTTAAAATGTTTTTTAATTATGGAATTTATTTCTTAATTTGCACATAACAACATCTCTGTGAAACAATATTAAATTATCCCTAATCATAACCCTTCTGGTCTGGTTGACTTTTACAACATTTTATTATAAAATAAAGATTTTGATCGACTTGGGCTTAAGATGCTTCAAGATCCCGGGTCAGCATTTTTCAAGTAATTTCTTATATGTTAAATGGCCTAACTGATTTTTATCCAACAAACAGAATAAAATGAAGGTTGTATATGACGAAATTAATGGGAAGATTTTTGACCACTTAATGGGCATTTCTAACCCTAGCGATAACAATCTTGGCAGAGCGTTACACATGCTGACCATTACCCTGCTGCTCTTGGAAGCTTTCATTGCTTCTCAAACCATTTGATGTACAATGATTCTCTACTTAACACTGATGCGTAATTGATTGATGGAGCATCCGGGAAAATAAACAAGAAGATGCAAACTAATTTACATTGTACGTAATATCGTCCAAAATATGATTGTTGGATAATAGTGAAGTATAACAATTCAGCAACATGCAAATCTATAATTTACACAATAAAGAATTAAAAGCCAACTTGAATAAGACATTTTTTCTGTTTTCACTGCATTTTTCTCAGGCATTGTATTATCAGTTTTTACAATAACTAGAGCAGGGCAACTAAGAGAAAATATTTGACCATGTGCATGCCTGATGTTTGGGTACAAGTAATTCAATGTCAAGGTATAATTTTACTGAAAATAAACACTCAATTATGCAACCATAACATGCAAAATGAATTAATCTTTGATACACGACACAAAACAATGGGGCATTTTTCCCATAGAGAACTGAAGCGGACATTTTCAAAGAGGATAGCATAAATTATACTAAAGACAAGATCATTCAGTAATGTAAATAAAAGCCCATTTCCTCCTGAGACAAACTACACGCGTCTTTGGAGATAATGCATGTATCGAAATTTCCACCATCGAACTATCTAAACAATTTCATGGAACGACTGCATAAATAAGCCCTGGTTAAATCTAGTACTGTCTGACGTCACGACGTCAGACAATAAATGCTAGTCATATTCAGGCTCTTTCTACGGAATTAAAAATCCCATTTCATTTTAAAGTTTACACACGCCTTGGTCATGTGACATTACGAGAGCAGAGACTTCCGTTCAAAATGTCGGCTGCAATTGTATCGAACCTTGGAAAGATACCTTCGAAAGTGAATCCTGACCTCCAGATTGAACGTGACAGATCGCAATTAACTCCACATATTTCTGAAATAACACATTTTATTGATGGTGGCCGCCATTTAACTGAAAAGAGGAGGGAAATAGGTAAAATTAATAGGTCATAAAAAGGGACTTTTTCGGCAGCTGTTCTGTCTGTAATAATGGGCCGATGATATATACACGACCGTCGTGCACACTACATGGAAAGTCTATTTACACGACCGTCGTGCAAATAGCTATTGCAAAGTGCTGAGATATATACACGATCGTCGTGCATAGATATTAAGTAAAATCTATTTACACGACCATCTTGCATATAGCAATTGCACATTACCCGAGATATGTACACGACCGCATTTATCGTAGTGTACCCTAAATTCGTCCGTACCCTAAATTCGTCCCCAAACTTCTCGAGACCAGCACGTTTCGAACTTCGTATCAAAGACGTCATTATTAATTGTTTTGACTAGTGAACACAATGATGCAACTTTTTCAGCAATTATTTTTCAGAATTTGCAATTTAGTATTAAACTTAAATAAAATAAATATACTTAAAATATCTGATTATTCCTTATGTCCATTTTTATTGAAAGTGTACAGTTTACTTACGTTCCCAAAAATTACTTCCCGATCTAATATACCTTCATTTTATTATTTTATACCCGTCAGTCAGTGTATTGAATTACGTGCATGGGCTACAAATGAAAACAATTTATAAATACTGTGCTATTTATTTTCCCTTTTCTTGTGTGTGTGTTTTGTTTTAATACGTTTCATTTAATCGAGATTTTTTCAAGAATATGTTATGGAGACGGAAAATAAATAAAATCAAATATATTATATCAAAAATATTTCCCATATAGAAGAATTTATTATACCACCCCTTTCAATAAAAATCAATCTGTCAACATAACCAAGCATTGATGATCACATTGTGTGAATAGATCTACCTTTGACCTTGCCAAGTCGCCAGTCCCCCCCCCCCCCCCCCCCCATTTGCTTGCAAAAAAGTCGGTAAGCAGCCAAATAATCAAGAAGAAAATGTTTTATTTCTACAAACAAAGAATTTAAATTATTTTACTGAACAGTCCGAACAGTCATTTTATTGAGCCGACCAAAGAAGCTGAATTTTTGTCACAATTTTTACCAGTTTGACAGGTGCTGTGTGCGCAGACCTGGTGCAATTTAATGGGTGCATTGAAGCATAACTAATCCAGTGGGCGTCTACTGGGTCGAAATTCACGATATAATCAAGTAAAACAAGATCTTACCTGCAAATTCTTTTATTTCTCATTTTCTGCAGATCTATATAGTATATGAAAAGTCTTTTTTTCCCTGTAATCATGGTAATGTGGATATTTCACACATTATTATAATAATGAATTATGTGATCAATTCAAGTCTACGCATTAAATTATAATAGTTTTCCTATGTTTTTGTCCCCCGCTTGAAAAGTGGGGGATATTAATTTGGGTTTTTCCGTCCGTCCGTCCGTCTAGCTGTCCGTCCGTCCGTCTTTCTGTCTGTCTGTAACGCTTTCGTTTCCACACGATATCTCGAGAACCCTTTGAGCTTTTGCAATGAAATTTAGCATAGCAACTCCCTATGGACTAAAGAAGACCCCTATTGATTTTGAGGTCAAAAGGTCAAAGGTCAAGGTCATAAATAAGCAAATTCTGTCTGTTAAAACACTTTCGTTTCCACACGATATCTCTAGAACCATTTGAGCTATCGCAATGAAATTTTACATAACAACTCCCTGTGGCCTAAAGAAGACCCCTATTGATTTTGAGGTCAAAAGGTCAAAGTTCAAGGTCGTAAATTTATACATTCTGTCTGTGTGTAACACTATCATTTCCGGGCGATATTTCAAGAAGATTTTGAGCTTATGCAATGTAATTTTATACCAAAACTCCCTAGGACGTCTCTCGCCCCTCTCAAAGTGCCCCGCCCCGTTTGTTTTATTAATATTTATAGTATTACATGTCGCTATTTTTAGCGCAGGGGCATGAGGAGAGTTATTGCGTATAAAACAGGTTCTCGGCGGACTTTATGTTCTTATTACATCTATTATAACTGTTTAATAAAGGCTAAATAAATCAAACACCATGGATTGTGTAAAATTTTGAGAATACCGAACATGAAAACATGAATATATATACATGTATGTGACTTCAGTTCTGCATATACTTCACTCCCTGTAAAGCGATTCCGTGGTCTAGTGGTTATGTCTCTTGCTCCAAATGTCAGAGGGCCCGGGATCGAATCTCGGTCGAACCTTTATTTTTTTATTTTTTTTTTTTTAAATACTTTTTTTTTTACTAAATGATAGTATTCAGCATGTGAAATGAAAAATTTATGAGGTTATAAAATCATCATTACAGTGTGATAAATATTCCATATAAAAAAAATCTTCTATACACATAATAAAGAATAAGCAATCAAATCTTTATATGCATACTGACATACATGTATTTTATTTCCTTCAGTATACATGTATACATTTAATAATTCTACAAATTCAGTCAGGGGGAGCCGACTTTTTCCCTAAGCGGGGGACACGAATTCTCTGAATTAGCTTGTTTTTTCAGATTGTGCCCGACTTGCACTGCTCAAATATTTTGATATTCTATCGGTTTTTGCCAGTAAGGTCAATGAATTTTGGAAAAGCTAAAATAAAACATTGTATAATTCACATATCAGGTAATTTGATGAGCATACAATAACACGACATCGTTGAAAGCATGTTCGTGTGTTTTTTTTTTTAAATTTCGTTAAAGAAAACGGAGTCGGTATAATCGAAAGCAATTTATGTTCTTTATATAATTAAGAGAGTAAACTTTCCACTTCCTTTATGGTTCTCACAAAAAATTACCTTCTTTCCACTAATCAAAATTAAGTATACGTATAAAATAGTTATCCAAGTGCAGATATAATTACGTTGATTTAGCGTCTGATTCATGCAGTTTTGTAATTAAGGTGCTATACTATAATTTGGAGATTCTGCTTGTGAAGTCAAAGAGAATTATTAATAAAATTTTGTTTGTTTGTTTTTAAAGTAACATAAGTTCATAAAAAACAGGTTTGACAATTATTTTTTGAAAATTAAATTTCAGTGCCTTTTGAAAATATATTGAGGTCATTTTTTTAATACAATAATATAAACAGAGATTCTCGATTTTATTTCTTAATATAGAGAGAAATTTTCATTTTGTTTAGGTTGTGCATCATTTGTTCTCAATATTTCCCCAATTATACAAGATATCGGCACCACTGACACTGAGATGTTTGAATTAAATCAGTGCGTCAGGTCATTTGTTCATGTTGTTTATTCCACAGAATCCATATCATTGATTGAAACAAATGGTTTAATTAATACAACAAAGTTCAAAAGTCAATAAGAAGTAAATGATTTCCTGTCAACAAGTGACAATTACTACATACATCGGATACATGTAACCAAGTAATTGGTCGTACATGCGAACCGTCTTAATTGGGACGAAACACCTCAGTGCGAATGGTCTGTGGGGACGAACCGTCTCGCACTCAAACAAGGAAAGATAAATACAATGGATGTTTAATGTTTTACACGACGGTCGTGTAAATAGTCATTGAAATTAATTATACAATGCATGTTTAATGTTTTACACGACGGTCATGTAAATAGTCAATGAAATTAATTATACAATGCATGTTTAATGTTTTACACGACGGTCGTGTAAATAGTCATTGAAATTATATACACGACGGTCGTGCGAATAGTCTTTGAAATTATATACACGACGGTCGTGTATATAGACACTGCCGTAATAATGATCGCAGTATCAACTAACTTGGACTGGGAGGGCATTATGACCAAGACTGAACTATTTAGAATAAAGATGGCACTTTACTGTTGGATCTTATCTTGTTCAAGTCCCTGTACATTTTGATAAGATCAAGCAGTATGGCGGAAAACAGAGGAATCATTAAACAAAGTTGCATAACTGTAGCGTTATGGTTTTATATATTAAAGATGATTTAGTTCAAAATGAGGGTAGACTTTACAACTACGTCATTCAATTCAATTTTGGGGTCAATAGGCCAAAAAACCTTGTATTTAAATTTTTTTTCGATCGCTCACGCAATCTCATATATACTGAAATCGCCTTCGGCGACACTACATTTTAGCGCATTTTTCTGGGGACCGGTAAAGTAAAGTCGTTCCCAAAATTATTATAGCCTCTTTATTTGTGGTACGTATAATTTTTATTAAGTTTTGACTTGTTTTATATAAAAAATAATCATTTTAATCTGAACACTTTTTATCAGAGTTTATGGCATTTTTACCTTGGTCTGTGCGCACTTTCTGCAATCTTTAAAGACCCTGATTTTTACAAAAATATTAAGTTCCATCAATAAAAATTAAATCATTCTCACTTGGTTTTTAATAAGAAATATTTTGATATACAATATATTTATATAGAACCATTTATTTTAACAAAAACATCATTGTCCACGAACTTTTTGGACAACCCTCGTACATCGCGCAAGACTTCAGACAGTTGCGAATCTCTGTTATTTATGTCTCTGATAAAACCATAATGCTACAGTTCTTCAGCTACATTAAACTTGGTCCATAGGACATGTATATACATGTAGTTATCATCATTTTTAGTAGTACTTATTCCTCGTATGATTTCATAGATGAAAACAATTATAGCTACTGTAGATCAAGTTACATGCAGTGCACCGATTACATTTTGTTAGCTTTTGTTAAACTTTTACTTGCATTAATAATGTTGATTTGCATTTTTTAGCTCACCTCAACGAAGTTGGGGGAGCTTATGTAATACCCTCGGCGTCGGCGTCGGTGTCGGCGTTGGCGTCCCAGGTTAAGTTTTTTGGAGCAGTTTTCTTTTTAAGTACTTCTATGTCCTATATTGATTAGACATGCATGGAAGATGCTTCTAATGTGTTTCATTGTACCAGTCAAAGTTTCAGATGCTGCAATTTCAGCAAAGGAATGGCCAGGTTAATGTTTTTGGAGCAGGTTAACATTTTTGGTGCAGTTTTTGGTGCAGGTTTCATTTCCAAGTAACTATAAGCCCTATGTTGACCAAACTTGCATGGTTGATACATCTAAGGATGCATACTACTGGGCTTGCTTCGGATGCTGAATCTGACCTACATTTTCCGGATGAGTGAACAGGTTAAAGTTTTTTGTGCAGGTTTCATTTCCAAGTAACTATAAGCCCTATGTTGACCAAACTTGCATGGATGATACATCTAAGGATGCATACTATCAGGCTTGCTTCGGATGCTGAATCTGACCTACATTTTCCGGTTGAGTGAACAGGTTAAAGTTTTTGGTGCAGGTTTCATTTCCAAGTAACTATAAGCCCTATGTTGACCAAACTTGCATGGATGATGCATCTAAGGATGCATACTATCAGGCTTGCTTCAGATGCTGAATCTGACCTACATTTTCCGGTTGAGTGAACATGTTAAATTCTTTTGGGCAGGTTTCATTTCCAAGTTACTATAAGCCCTATGTTGACCAAACTTGCATGGATTATACATCTAAGGATGCATACTACCGGGCTTGCTTCGGATGCTGAATCTGACCTACATTTTCTGGTTGAGTGAACAGGTTAAAGTTTTTGGTGCAGGTTTCATTTCCAAGTAACTATAAGCCCTATGTTGACCAAACTTGCATGGATGATGCATCTAAGGATGCATACTATCAGGCTTGCTTCAGATGCTGAATCTGACCTACATTTTCCGGTTGAGTGAACAGGTTAAATTTTTTTGGGCAGGTTTCATTTCCAAGTTACTATAAGCCCTATGTTGACCAAACTTGCATCGATGATACATCTAAGGATGCATACTATCAGGCTTGCTTCGAATGCTGAATCTGATCTACAATGTACATTTTCCGGTTGAGTGAACAGGTTAAAGTTTTTGATGCATAATTCATTTCCAAGTAACTATGACTTCTTTAATGACCAAACTTGCACGGATGATACATCTAAGGATGCATACTACCGGGCTTGCTTCAGATGCTGAATCTGACCTACATTTTCTGGTTGAGTGAACAGGTTAAAGTTTTTGGTGCAGGTTTCATTTCCAAGTAACTATAAGCCCTATGTTGACCAAACTTGCATGGATGATACATCTAAGGATGCATACTACCAGGCTTGCTTCGGATGCTGAATCTGACCTACATTTTGTGGATGAGTGAAAATGTTAGTTTGTGATGAATGTATCATTTCCAGTTAACTATGAGCCCTATAATGAGCAAACTTGCATGGACGATACATCTTAATATGCACACTAATGGACTTACTTTGGATGCTGAATTCGACATACATTTTTTCAGATAATAGACCAGGTAAAAGTTATGGGTGCAGGTCAATTACCAAAAAACTTGAAGGCTTATGTAACATTGTATAAACCAAACCAAACTTGCACAAATGTTGCATCAGGAGATGAAAACTCTCAAATTTGCTTCGGATGCTTAATTTTAATTACATTTTCATGAACAACTAGTTTAAATTTTTTATGTAGGTCTATTTAAATGTATTCGATCAAAATTGCTGAAATATTTTCATTTCTGGAATGTACACTTTTTGTTGGTTAATTGTGTGACTTTGCCTTACTTAAAGACAACATTCGTTGAGGTGAGCTCTGTAATCTCTGATTACCTATGTTTATTCAATTTATTGAACTATTTTACTTACTATAAATATACATGTACTTATCCTCTCCATGCCCTTGAGGACACATGAGGCCGTTATTTAAGTATTTCGCATATATTAAAATATGTTATTTTCTTTTTAACTGAACAGACCTTATTTTTAATAATTCAAACATTTTTTCAAACATTTTAAAAATGAGGATTTTTTAAATTTATTTCAGAGGAAATATTATTTAAGGAGTCCCTGTTTAGAGAGTATTCCAATGACAGAGTGTATAGATCAAGACAAGAGGTGTACGCAAAGGGACTGGAGAGATCTGTCAGGTTATTCACTCTCAAGCAGGAACACAACTGGAATGATGTAGAATTTGGATTGGCATTAAAGTAAGCCTAATTTGCTTTTGATCCGTTTTTTCCTTATCATCATTATTGGCCTTTACACCCTGAGGCGTATTGGGCAGCCATTTTTAATACAATGTGTTTATTTTAAAGAATGGATGAAAGTGTCTGTTTTGATATATGTAAAATAGCTGCTTTTCTAAATTTGTTTTCGAATCAACACACTGGTTTGAAAGATTTTATCACAGTATTTACTAATTGTAAATATAATAGGAAATGAAAGAAAATGATTTTGTAAAGATTATTTTTTTATTAGTGTGTCTTATATATAAATTTCTACTTTTGGCTGATTTCAGAACAATAAATCAAGACCACACTTTGGGTCTTCATAATGTGATGTTTATTCCTGCCTTAGAGAGACTTGCAACAGAACAACAGAAAGCAAAATGGCTTCCACTAGCAAGAAATTACAAAATTATTGGCACTTATGCACAAACAGAGATGGGTCATGGTATAAATATATCAATGATAAAATGATAAAGATAGGAACAAATAGATATATTCAAGAAGTAAAAAAAAAATTATTTTAAATTCAAAATCTACTCTTTTTTATACTATGACAATACATGTACTTATTATGCCAGTTGTGTTTATGTAATATGCTTTGAATGACAAGTCGGTATAAATTACACACCAAAACACCCAGAAAACTAAATATAAACTTCTTAACTGAGGCTTTTGTCTTTGATAGGAACTTACCTGCAGGGATTGGAGACCACGGCTACATATGATGCCACGACAGAGGAGTTTGTCCTTAATACCCCAAAAGTGACCTCCATCAAATGGTGGCCGGGCTCCTGTAAGTCTAATAAACCTTAATGATAGAGATCAGAGGCCTGTTCAACAGAATGTATGCGAGGGCTTGCCAGAATTCCTTATACCTCCAATAGAAATTACGAGCGCTCTGTCTGTTGAGCAGGCTTCAGGTTGTCTACTCACTTTAATAAAAATATATAAACTATATGTTAGAATTTAGAGATGGGGACAAAACTGCTGCTCTCTTTCTGATATGCTGTATATTTATGTTCCCCAAACGGAGTTTGGGAACATATTGTTTTTACTCGGTTTCTTATTATTATTATTATTATTATTATTAAGGTCTTCCGTTTCAGACGGAAGACCTTATAGTGATTCTACTGTTTTTTTCTTTTTATTATTATTATTTTTTTCCCTTTTTGTTTTGACGATTTCTCAGAGATGACTGGACGGATTCTCATGAAATTTTCAGAGATGATAGAGAGTCAAAATATCTTTCTAATGCAGTTTTCAGTTTTTCAAAATTCACTTCCGGTCGTCAGATATGTCCGATTTCCGCTTTTTTCAAAAAAATTTTGTCCCAGTCATATCTCAGAAACGGTAAGAGATGAAGACACCAAACTTATATGAGTAATAGATCTTGATAAGTAGGCAAAACTATTTGGGTTAACACAGTTCGCCGTCACTTCCGGTCGTCACAGGAAGTGATCAAAGAAATCGAAAATTTCAACTTTTCTTTTTTGAAAGTTTTTTTGCAGCACAAAATAGTATTTTATTTGTAGTTTCGAAATATGTCAGTCCCACTGGAAACAAAAACGACGACTTCCGGTTATAAGAGAAAAACTACAAAATTTGAGTATTATTCTTTCCCATAAATATTTTTAATAGATAAAGTATTTCTAATGATTTTTGGATATGTTATTCAGACTGCAAATGTCTACAGTAACGTCAAATATCTTTGTAAAATTCACTTCCGGTCGCGTGATTTCCTGTCCTCAAAACGAGAACTTATCATAGCTAGATCTCGTAAATGGAAAAAGATTAAGACACCAAACTTACACAATTGGTAGATCTTGATGAGTAGGCAACTTCAGTTTGGATAAGATTGTCCG